GCCCATGTAGTTAGCCCGTTTGCAGGAATCAAACCTTGAACTGAACTACCAGTGTCCAGCAGCTTCACTGCTCAGCCGCTAGTGGGCCATTGCAATGGAAGAATGCCCAAAATTTTTCTTTTGCTGAATGAAAAGGCTTTTCTTCATTTCAATAATATTGTCAAATCTACCTAAATTAAAGCTGTGGCACACACCTCACACGTGTAACAATTTCAAGGTGGTTTAACTTCAGTTCGAGTTCACAAAATTCAATAGATGTTATCTCCTGATACCAAAAACTGATGGACTACATGGCTGTAAAGGAGGGGATTTTTTGATCCTTTAAAACTAATTTTGCTTTCTTAATCCTTTCTTCTCATTACAGGATTCTTTTCTGCAGCCCCATTACGCTTTTGAGTTATAGATAAAAACAATTTTATCTACTGGTTCGTCCAAGCATAATTTTCTATCACGAACGATGCCTTTTCTTTGAAAAAAATCTATAGCAAAAATTTTATCCTTAACCAATTTCCAAATTGTTACATTAACAGCATTATCAAAACATTAAGAAATTAAACCAGCATTTCAATAGTGGCTTAAAAATCTAGAACTATCTAAATTTATACTTAGTCTATATTCACATGCATATAGAGAAATCTAAATTTATACTAATTTTGCAACTAAATGGACATTAGCTAGATTTGGTGCTTTTGTATACGTATTTTGGCTACAATTTCGTATGGTCCCGATAATAGAATTGTACCTTGTATTCATTTTGTGAACATTTTTAATTCATTATATATGACCATCTACCTTATACTAAGGGTTGTATTTCACATTAAAAACGTCTCAGAAAAACAACTGTTTAGTGCAATTTTTCTGCTTAGTCACACAACAGCCAATCACCATGGATCACACTGGGGATATCACATAAAGGAAAAACTGGTTCTCCATTACAGATACAAAGAACTTCTATTTAAATTCTTTATTTTGATGCTGCTTGGATGAAAATGTACAGTCTGCAGCATTTTGAGAAAGGGATGAAAAAATACACCTTACTCACAATGATCAAGTCAGCAGAAAAACTGTTTCAAATGGTTGTTTGTCTGAAATAGATTGATATGTGATAGCACTTTAAGGAATCGATCTATATTTTCTCATATTTCTATTTAATTTTATATGGAAATAAAATAATTTTATAATAACATAATAAAATATTATTTTATTTTCACTTTAATGTATCTGTCATAAAATAGTTGCAATCTTTACTGCATGTAACAACAAAAAAAAGAAAGAATTTTATTAGCTCATAGTATCGAGACTTTTATATGAAACTTACCTAAAAGTGGAGGCAATTTTATAAAACCAATAATTTTGCCACCAATATGAGCAAAGATAACTAATATAAGCAAAGCAAATATTTCACTTCCTGGCAAAGCATCTTGCCTTAGGATGCCAAATAATGTTGCAAAAAGGAAAAGGAGAACAAATACTTGTGCAAGAACATGAAATATTTTTCTTTTACTGGGTTTTAGCTGTTGACACCAAATAATGCATTTTGATGTAGATCCTGCAAAATAAAAAAGTAATAAAACAAAAAATTACGTTAAAGAATTCATTATCAAAGAACATAAAATACATTATTAAAGGACAAAAAAACATAATACTTCTATGCAATCAAATTAAATACAGAAATTAAAATCATAAATATGGTAATAAAAAGGCCCTTGATAGAATATTATTAATATCAGATAAAACAAATTCACTAGCACCATATTAATAACCAATTAATTAAATTAAAATTTTTAAAACTCCTCTAAAACTTTTCTCCTTGAATTTTATCAAAGCCTTTCACTGAAAAATAAAAATATTTGTGTCATGATGTGAATATTATATTATTTAAAAATAGAATAGTGTCTTTATTCAAAAAATTATACCATATTTAAAATTAATCTCTGCTCTTATTCACATTATATGAACAATGTATATAATTGTAGCTGAAATTTATATACACAACCTCCAGAATAATTAATACTAATTATAAGTCACACACTTTTTACAAAGCATCTGAGAACTATGTACACAGAGAAAAAAATATGATGGAAGCTTTTTTTTTTTTTTTTTTTTTTTTTTTTTTTTTTAAATTAGCTTGTATTTTAGCTCACACATGGAGGAAAACATAAAAATAGCATACAGCCAACTGTTCAACCTCCAAAAATTGAATTTGGAATGAATCAATTTCCAGTGTTCTGCAGATTTAATCAATGATGGACATATGATTTACTAAAACGATGATCAGATAGTTTTTTTAACCAAAAATGTAACCGAAAAGTGTGTTCAAAAAGTCTCATAACAATGAATTATGGCAAAGAAAGATATTTGAAGATACTCAACTGGGTTATATGGAAATACTTTCCTGGGTTACAGCAAATACTGAAAATGCTTTCCTTGAGCTGAATACACAAGAAATTCCTTTTACAAACGTTTGTGATCACTCAAAGTAAAGTTTGGTAATCTATTCATTGTACTGTAAGATGTAATAGTCTAATTTTGAATAGTTTTAGGTCAGTCCTTGTACATCTCGATCTAAGCTGCTCCCTCCTATTAAAAAAAAATCTGACAATGAGAAATCAGGCAAACTTGGCGGCCATATTCCCTTCGAGATGATACTGTCATTCAAAACTTTCTCTAATAATCACATTAAATTCTTTGCAATTTCATTCAGTAGCCCTATGAGTGGTAGAAAAGTACCTGTCAGAATTAACAGTGTTCTGACCACTCAGCCAGTACAGCAATGGTTCTCAAACTTTTTTGCTTCATGCACTCCTTTCACCACTACTAGATGAAACTTGAAAAATATATATACAACTATTTAAATTTAGATTATTTTTAAGGTGTCTTATAAATTAAACAAGGAACAGTAAAGAACATTTTGACAAATACCAAAACTTGAATAAAAGTAGTTCTTTATATTTATAAACTTACTTAGAAGGCAAATAAAAGCTGACTGCACTTCTCGGATCCCTTAAACTATGGAATTCCCAGGGGAGAATTCCCGGGTGGTTGAGAATCCCTACAATATAGTGATGATTAGGATACTAATGGGCCCAAATTCTAACCATCAGGAAAGCATAGATGTTTGTAAATGTATAGTGTCTGTGGGGAAAGGGGAGGCATTCAGAATACATATCAAGCTGAAAGTTCTCTACAGAGATTGATGGCAGAGAAAGAGACACCTGGATTGCCCTCCTTCTAAGTGTCCCTCCTATGGAAGCTTAACAGCTATGTAGGTACAGCAATATCTCAATCACCTGTGGTACTACAAAGATACTGGCCTAGCTTCTACCAGTATCTGTCTGGAAGAATACGGGGCCAATAATGAATTGCTGTAACATGGCTACTTAAACATCAGTTTTTGCGAGTGTAAAGGCACCTCATGCAAAATGTGGGAATTGGCAACACTCCATAAACTTGTGTTTTGTTAACTGATGTGCCCTGTTAAATGGAAGTACATTTCTATGGACAAGTCACAAAGTCTAGCCTCATTCATGTCTGTGTTGGTTATTCTCGTACTATAATTTACATATTTAAATGACTAAAGTGTATGTTTCAATATTCTCCCAATAACAAGTACAGAAGAACTCCAATTATCTGAGCTAATGTAGACTAGAGTTAACTCAGATAAGCAAAAACTCAGATAATACGGATTAATATGAAGAAAGTTTTAATGTATAGTCTTATTACACATTTTATAGGGAATTTACTAACATACAGAATTCATGCTGGTATATGGCAATATAAAACATGTCCATTCAAATATGCAGATACACACACATACTAAACATGATGCGTACTATAATCTTCAAAACATGTATTTGTATACAAATAAGAGGCTATAAAATATGCATAACATATCAAACATTTAAAAAAAATCAGTAACAGTAATCAGTATTTCATTGTGCTGCCTCGTTATCTTGCTCCCGTATTTCTTAAACATCATTACTTCATGTCAGCTGGTGACATGTCATCTTGATATTTAGCACACAGCCTTTTTGATCGTATCCAAGCCATTTGTGCAACTGTTTTTGGTCTTAATGATTTACACATCTTCATCATCAAAACTTTCATTGTGCATGAATAAATTTATAATGACCTTCAGATAGTTCAAACTGTTCATTATCTTGCATATAATCACTCACATCTTCATTCACTACTGCCTCTGTAACTTGTAGCCGGTTTAATATAGACACTAATTTATCACCTGCTTTGCGTCTTCATCATTCAGCGAAATGTTTTTCCAGATTTTCAGAATGGTAGATTGTTTCACGTCATTCCACAATTCTCCCAGGGAATAAATAAATATACTGAATATTAACCTAATTTTCACATTAATGTGTTTTAGGCTTTCAACAACTATTTCATTTTCTAGATCTCCTCAGAAATGTTTCAAGAGCCTGCATTGGTAGTTTCATTTCAGGTTTTCTAAAACACTGGTCAGAAGGCTGAATCATAACTAGCTACGTACTTTGGCTCTGGTGCAAAAACCAGACACTAAATTATTTTTCACTCAAAGCATGCAAGAATCGAGGCTGTTAGCTGAAATGGGGTAACAATTGGGTTATCATTACGACTTGAATTACTGCTAAAAACCCAAGTTTACAAATTGTTTACATTTTGAACAAGGCTATTTTAACGACTTTTTTCATGTACTGCATTGAGCTTGGATAACATGGAACCTCGGTTAACAAAATCTCAGATAATCGGAATTCTAATGTACCTACATCCACTGCAATGAGACTTTTTAAATGTACTGCGAACATGTATATTTCAAAGATTATGCTATCATTTTACATACAGTACACTATTTTTGCATATCCATTTAAAATCTAATAATATTTTAAATAGATTTAATGAGAATGTTCTCTCTCTCTTTAACTAATGCATTACCACTTAACACTTTTTTAAAAGACAATAAAATATAGTCTGTAAAACACTTTTTAGAGGCTTTAAGGTAACCTTGATAGAAGAAGTTGTATATTTGTTGTAAGCAAGAGAACTCATATATTGTCTTTCTCTCTATTAAGAAGAAATAGTTTCTTACTGCAGTAAAATAAAAGTATTAAAAAAAAAACACAATCACTTTAGAGTTAATGACTTAATAGGTAACACTAGAATAACTACTTAATAGGTAGAATCTTTAGGATAATCTTAAGAAAGCTCACTAGCTTTGTGATCATGTGCACAGCAGTTATTTATTTATACAGCAAATATAGTGTTATGGATTTTGTATTTGTTTAGTTTGTTATTTTTTAATAGAATTGTTATTAAAATTGTTTTATATTCCCGTGCAATGCAGCATGAGACTTATTTGAAGAGAAAGCTACGCCCGAAAAATTAAAATACTGTACTACGTGCATTTAATATTTAATAAATATATATCTCATAACTGTTCTTTTTGGCATCTAGAAGAATCGAGAAAATACGAGAAGTTTCTCATGTGTGATTTAAAGAGTTTATAAAAGCTGAAGCTACTCAATTCAGTTGTTTTATGAGTTTTTAGAAAATTGTTGTTGTTTACTGTAGTGAATTTGTGGTGAAATTGGATTAGCTTTCTCTATTTTGAATTACTTCTATTTGAATTAGTTGGAAAGTTTTGGTAGTTAAAAAGATAACTACTGCATGATATTGCAATATTGAACAAATATCTTAGAAAATTTAAGCATTTTGTTTTATTTGTTGTGATAATAATACATTTTATTCACTTTTCATCGGACTTGTGCATTCAATTTATTACAAACCCATTCGCATGCAACAATGTGATTATAATTTATTAAGAATAATTCAAATCAATATTTACTGTCAGCAGGGTAGTTTCCTTCAGTACAATTATTTAGATGTTCACCAGCATTTTCTGTCTGAAGTTCCATGAAACCAATTCTATATAAATAGCCTTTCAAAACATCTTTTATATGAGCAGCCAAAATATATCATTAGAAATATTATGTTGTAGAAATTTATGACTGATAACACAGCAAACTACATCATGTGACACTGAACCTTAAAAGAAAGGTGATTAACAATGAGAGCACAGAAAAAACAGTATTTCCAATGTAAAATAATTTAAAGCTATGCTCAGATATATAAATTTCTGATCTGAGTTTCATATCAACAATCATCATGTACAAATACTGAATAAATGAAGAAATAATTATTGTACAAAAGTGAATCCATTATTATTTTAAACTTCAATAACAGACAATTAGATTAAATTAAATTTAGATAAAAACTATTAGATATATTAAATTTAGACTAAGCTAAGAAACAGGACCATAAATTAGTGGACGTATAAAATTAATTTTTTTTAATTTCACATAAATATAAACTATGTTAAATATAATGTAATTTTAAGAATACAAAATTTAAATTTTTACATTTAATTCTTAATATTATGCTACAAGTCTCAATAAACTCTTTTAGGGCTATCATAAAAATGAAAAGAGGTGTTAAATGGAAAAAGCCTTTTTGTTAAACATAAAACATGATTCATTAAGCTGTGTATGATGTATAATTAAATAACAGGTACATTTTACAGCCTCAGAAATTAATAACTTAATATGTGATAGCAGAAATAATATTTTAAAAACTGCTTATGGTGATGCAATATATATTTAGTCGATAATGCAACTGTGATCATGATAGAAATTATATGTAAATCCATAGTTATAATTTTATTTTTATTTAAAGCAGGATTAAAATTAGTATTAAACTCATTTATTCCCCTCTACACTGTATTAAAAAGAGGTGGAGGGATTTCTTAAAAATATGCAAATCAAAAAATTATTTGAAAGGAAATAAAATTATTCTTTCCCTAAAAATTTTACTTTTAGAAAAAATTACAGATATGTATTGGATCAATCAAGTAAATTCAATGAGCTGGTAAGATAACCTTAAACAATGCTAATTTTATTTACTTCCAATATATTTAACAAACTTAAGCATCTAAAGTTAATAAATTGAATCAAGCAGGCTATTCCTCCAATTAATACAGCAACTGTGTAAGAGATAACACAATATCTAAAGAAATCAAATAATCATAGCATAACTAACTTGAAAAAAAAACGAAAAGAAAATATACACAATATTAAAAATATAAAAATTAATCTCCTTTTACTGAAACACTAATACATAACTCATCCAGGGAAAATGAATGAAAGTTTCACAAAAGTCCATTAATACGTATCAAAAACATGTTTGTTTATTTGAAATCAAAAACCAAAAAAAGATTCAATTAAATTTTAAGACATTAAAATTCATATAAAACTGAAAAAAAAAACGAATCTCAAGTGTACCAGAATTTTTCCTACACGCTTTCATTTGGAAAACACTCGGAAAAAAGAAAACACGAAACACTTGGAAAAAAGACTAGAACATAATATGGTGCCAAATTGATTACTCAAAAAAAAAAAAAAAAGAAAGAAAGAACTTTTCCATTACACCCAAATTGACCTTTCAAAAAAAACAAATTGGTCTAAAACCATTATATGCAAATCCGAAATTCAAAAGTAACAACAAATAAAGAGCAAATCAAATATACTTTAAATCAAATTGTCATTTATACTACACTCAAAAATTGGGTGCCCCCCCAATTATGCTAAACTAAACTTTTAATACCAAGAAAATGAAAAAAAAAAATTTCATATAGATTTCTATAAATCATAAAATTTAATCTGAGACTTAAACAGCTAAAAGCTGAATAGATTTTATTATTTATAGAACTCTCTATGAAAAAACTTTTTCACTTTCTTAGTATTAAAAGTTTAGTTTAGCATAATCGGGACATAATCAAATTTAATTTTTTTAGTGTTGTTTAAAATGTGACAATTTGTTAAAGATTTTTATTTGCTTTATTTAATTGTTTTTGATATTCAGATTTGCATATAATGGGTTAACATAATGCTTTTTGAAGGTCTTTGCATAATTAAATTTTTTTATTATATTATCTTATCTCCTATAATCATTATTTTATTATTTTATTATATTCTATATATATATAAATTATTTTATTTATTTATTATATTCTTTATTTATTTTATTATCTATATATATTATATTTTTTTTTTTTTTTTTTTTTTTTTTTTTTTTTTTTGTAGTCATCCATTTGCATGGATTCTTTTTAGTGTTTCCAAGTGTGGAGGCAAGTGTGGCACATCAATTCACTTTTCGGGTATATGAATTTATGTCGCAATGAAAAGTAATCTACGTTTGGGTTTTGAAGAGGCACCAAGAAACGAAAGATAGTTGAAACTATCATCGACTTTTTGAAGCTTCCTTTTCCTGTGATCCTGAATTGAGTTTCAGTAAAAGGGCGATTATTTTTAATCGTGAAGATTTTCCCTTTCAATTTTTTATTTTTCAATTAAATTCTATTTAATTTGATTTTTTAGATATGTGTTTAAAACTTAACCAGTTTGCGTTCTTAATATTGTTGAGGAATAGCCTTGCTTTGATTCCAATTTAATATTAACTTTATATACGTTAAGTTCATTTTACTTCAATCCTGCATCTATAGCACAGGATGGGTTTTGAAAAACTTTGTTTTTAATTTTTAGCCTATTACGATTCTTTTTAATATAATACATATACAACATATTTGATATAATAAATGTTGGCAACCGCCGTTGATTTCCCTAGCGCAAGCGCATGATAAGCAAGTTCTCTCCTGCGTAATACTTAGTTAATAAGCAGTTAGCCAAAGTCAATGGTGAGTATTGCATGTAAGAGAGAAGTGCAAAGCACTGTGTAATATCATGTTTCTACTCTGCTGTTCAACATCTTCATAGTTAAAAAATGTTTGTCATGTATATAGAAGACGTCATTTATTCTTCATAGGTTATGGGCCCCACACCGCTTAACTGTGCAGTCCAACTACATTCTTAATCTTTCGGCAAGCCAAGCTGCATCGACTGAATGAAAAATGACGACGACAAACCAGTGTCAATTGAAAAGCTAAACAAGAACAACTTTGATACGTGGAAGTTGCAAATGGAAGCAATACTGATTAAAATGATCATTGGGATAGAACTGGGAAAATTCCGAAACCAAACAGGCGAAGAATTTTCTAAATGGAAAACACTGACCAAAAAGGCACGAGCGGATATAATCCATCCATCTTACCCGTGAACTTCCACAATAAGAAATTGTGTTAAATCTCACGAACTGTGGAGTAAATTGCATTCATTTATGAATCGAAGGGACCAGCTAGAAAGGCCACAGTTCTAAAAAATTGCTTTTTACAAAAATGAGTGATCTCACAAATGACTGATCATCTAAATGATTTTTTATTCTTGTGGACAAACTGAAAGAAATGGAAATAAACATTGCGGATGATTTGCTTACAATATTGCTTTTATATAGCATACCGGACTAACTCTAAAGACATTTTTTGTCTGGATAGTGGTGCAACATCTCATATGTGTAACAGCAAGGAACTGTTTCGGGAAATTCACGGGGTAGGTGATATTTATGTTAAATTAGCTGCTGATAAAATAGTTAAAGCTATTGGAAAAGGATCTGTGAAATTTAAAGTTTGCATAGGTTCTAAAACTGAAACTATCAACTCAAAAATGTATGTGTTGTACCTGATTTGAACAAATAATTTAGTCTCAGTGTCTAAAGTAACTGAAAAAATCTTTCAGTAATTTTCAAAGAAAAATGTGCTCAAATAATTCATTCTAATAAGAAAACAGTAACTTGAGCTAAACGCGAAAATGATCTTTATTATGTTATGCCAATATTTGAATCTGTATCAATTGCTAACGAAATAGATCAATGGCATATAAGATTTGGCCATTTGAATGAAAATAATCTTAAAAAACTTCAATTAAATAACATTGTTAGAGGTCTTTCTTTTTCTCAAAACGACTCTCTTTCGACCTGTAAGTTATTCATTCAGGATAAACAAACCATAGCCCCCCTTCCCCAAGAATCTGAATATAGAAGTACTGAATTGTTAAATCAATTCATCTGATTTGTGTGGTCCCGAGAACCAATCAATAGGTTGATCATTTTATTCGCACCTTTATCGATATAATCTTGATATGTTTGTGTTTATTTTCTGAAATCTAGGATGAGGTTAAAGAAGCTTTCAGAAATTTTAAAGCATCTTTTGAAAATAAACTTAACTCTAAAATCAGAATCCTGCGAACCGATAAACGAGCTAATATTTAGGAAAGACTTTTAATAAATTTCTTAATGATGCGGGAATAAAACACGAAATGAGCACTCCTACACGCCAGCCCAGAATGGCGTCGCCGAAAGATTAATCGCACTTTGATTTCAATGGCGCGATGTTTGTTATTGCAATCCAATCTGCCTCAGAAATTCTGGGCCGAAGCCGTCAATACGGCTGCTTACATTCAAAATCGCTCCCCAACGCGAGGTTTAAACACCTTACGAAGTAATGTTTGGCAGAGTACCATCTGTCTCTCACTTCAGAATCTTTGGTCAAAAAGTATTTCTATTAAATAAAAGGCTATGAATAGGAAAATTTGATATTCGATCTAAAGAAAGTATTTTTATTGGCTATTCTGATGAATCAAAAGCATATAGACTTTGGGATTCTGAGGCACGTAAAGTGATAATATGCAGAGACGTAAAATTTATTAATGAGTTTGAAAACTGCTGTAGTTATGACTCAGAGCAAGACGAATCTGCCTTTCGCTCCTAGGAAAAATTATAAATAAAACATGTTGTGATGATCATCACCTCTGGATGGTAGCGAGTCGCCATTGACTCTGAAGCTGAAAAGAAAAGCGGAAGTGATTAGATACCGAAATCAATGCTCCTATCCTGATTAAAAGGGGGCCTGGTGACCCGAAAATAAAACAGTTTGCCAGGAAGCCTAAAAAGGAATATCACTATACACTTGAAAAAAAATGAACAAACTCGAAATGTGTTGAGGAAAGCATTGATCCTACAGTGCAAGAAGCATTAATGGACCATATGCTGAAATTCGCATAATGCCATGCTGTTGGAATATAACTCGCTTGTTCAAGAAA